GAAAATTGTGGGCTGTGCATTTGTTACACACACACACACACACACACACACACACACACACACACACACACACACACACACACACACACACACACATCCTGCCTTTTATAGATAGAGATGATCCATTGTTGTACATAATTAGGTCACAACAAAATTTATATTTTATATGAAGACTACCTTATGTAAATTGAGACGTAGTAGAATAGGGGACCCCGTATCACAGATTCCGTGAGGGGGTACGAGACCCTCTCACTGGCTCTGTTAGTTGCGATGGGAGTTACCTTCCAAACCTTTTGTTTACGGTAGTGTGGAAATTCAACATTTTAATTATTTTCCCTTCCAGTTACACGTGCTACTCATTTTTGTTGTTGTTGCTGTCAGAAGTCGTCAAATGTTGTGGTTTTTATTATTTGGTAAAACTGTTTCTTTACGATTCTGTAGCGCCAGTCTATAGTATCGGATGAATGGTCGCCTTCTTTAAGATCTAAAGAATTAATTCAACTTGAATTTTTAAACATTGTTCTGAGAAAACGGTTAAATATAGATGACAGTTCAGACGTTTCTGAGCGAATTGAACGCCATACATGACATTTATGTGAGAGTCTAGATCTGACAAGGCTATTTAAGATTACGGGTCGTGTTCTCAGATTAATATTTTGGTTTGATAGCATCTTCCTGAATTTGACAAAAGTGTTCCGAGGGTAAACTATCTTGAGACACCCTGTGAGTATCAAATTCACCCTTCAGTAGCTGAATGATCTGCGGGACCAGTTTACGTAACATTAGCTCAACAGTGAAGCCCCTCGAAAACAAATTAAGTAACTAATAATGTTAATGACTTTTATCGCTGCTTATTTTCTTTACCGAGTCCGTAAGGAAAACATTTCTCCAATGTGTATCTTTCCCCCCACTGCGGGCAGAATGATTTTGGCTGAAGTTTAATGTAATCATCTACCACTTTTGAAGCCGATTATTTTCAACACGTCCTCTGTTGGTCATCATCAATGTTTACAGGTCGTTTTTCACATGATGCATCTTTGAGTGATTCGTTTCCAATTAAAACCCCGTTAGAACACGTTTGATTAGTAGTAAATGCGGTACACGCAGCTTCTGCCTTTGTCCCATGTTTCAATTCACACGGTAGATAAGTACTTATGACCAACAAGTGCACCGCATGATTATTACTATTATAAGTAGTATTTACCCCGTTTTCTCAGTGAGACGTGATGTGACACGAGGTCGGGTTTAATGTGGGGAACCCGAGCACATACAACCGGGCCTATTAGTATTAGAAGTATAGCCTTTTCTGCTGGAATGAAGTGGAATGATTATATTGAATCAATTGTTAGGTCTGCTGTTCACTGTATCGTGATAAACAATTTATCTCATCAGAATCTATTATACACATTTTGTTGGTTCCAATTCAATAGTGAATGACTGCAAAAATCCCCCCCTTTCTAAATTTATAAAAAAAAAACACACAGATGCATGCGGGGATTTCTTCCTAGCCAATAAAATAGGCCAATTCTCAGTCTCATCCGACTTAGTTCTGTTCTTTCATGTCCTGATAGCAGAACGCTGCGGTTGCTTGTCTGCATCCTTTTTATGTGGTTACACGTTTTTTAGTTTGTGAACTTTTTGCCCTTTTACTGTTGCTTTACCTTATTGCTGTTATACTGTCTTGCGTATAGTTTGCTTAGTATTATTTTTGCCCTGCGTTTTTCCTTTTCAATTCTTTCTCTTGTTAGTGTTTATTGTGAATTTTTCAATTCTGTTTGTTGGGCATTTCTGAAAATTACATTTATTTAACCATGGCCAATTACCCCACACATTTTTAAATCTACCATTCACCCAGGCGTTGAATATGGTGGCCAAATCTGGCTTGGTGCATCTGCTGTGTATTTAGAGATTCTTGGTAAAATCCAAAAAAGAATCTGCAATGTCATTGGTTCGTATCTGGCATCTCAGTTTCAATCATTTTAATACCCCCGTAACGCAGCCACCCTGTGCCTTTTCTATAAATACTTTTATAGTAACTGTTCTGATGAAGTTTTTTCTATAGTGTCAATACTACATGAATTTAAACGCTGTATTAGATTGGCAACAAGGTTTCTATGCGTTTCTTGTTAGTAATATATCTGTCTATCATCAAACTCAGCTTAAAACATTTAAATTGGACGCATTGAAGAAGTATGCACGTGTGTCACCTGGTGCGTTGTATAATCAAAACACCCAAATGTTATTTGGCTGAATTTGAAAATGGTGAAGACGATTAACATTATAATTTTCCCCGTGAATATTAAGGACCTTGTCTTTACAAGTGGAAAATCTGAAAGGGGAATATCAGAACAGTTTTGACGATACTTCGAGTTCAGACATTCGTACACTTTTACGGAAACAACAACCACATACATTTAAAAATGTTACTTTTGTATACATACATACATACATATATATATATATATATATATATATATATATATATATATATATATATATATATATATATATATATATATATATGAGTTAGACCCTGAGTTTCACGTTTTGTGATCATCAGACATCAGAGTTTGTCTGATGATCGCAAAAGCGTAAAACCCAGGTCACAAGCTCATATCCATACAACAGAATATGTTACCACTATCACTGATATTGAGCACTTTCTACTAAGTACTTCACAAGGAAAAGCAAAATATATATGTAATGTATATATATATATATATATATATATATATATATATATATAGATAGATAGATAGATATGTAGATGTATATCGATAAGTATGTATGTATATATATATATATATATATATATATATATATATATATATAGAGAGAGAGAGAGAGAGAGAGAGATAGTAAAAAATATACATACACTTGAGCTCTTCGCTACGGTACCTAGACCTTATTTATTTAAGTGCAGTACTTGACTGTCGTCGAGATCACATCAATTTACAATTGAGCTGTCGAGATGTAACCGTAAGTTCTATGCTGGCAGTTTCTTCTCTCGCACTTCTTGCGTGTGTGAAATCATTTCCTATTCTCTTTCTGATCAATCTTTTCTCCTCCAGCTCATTATTAATGTTTCTCTTCCTAATTCTGTTCCTAATTCTCTCACACCCAGTAAACCCTTTAATAAACATAAACTTAACGAAAAAGGAAATAGGTGAGGTAAAAAAAAAACAAAAGGTTGTGCGTGTGTTGATGGAGGGAGAAATTTATTTAAATAATCATTTCGTAAAACAGGCAGGATAAAAATTAAAAAAAAAGTAACGATGAAAATCTTTAGAGAACATAAATTCATGACGAAGGAAAAATTAAATATTGATTATTAATTTTTATCTCATATTTTTAAGAACTGATAAATTTTATAAGCAAAGAAAACAGAATCTTCGTATATTTACGGGTTTTCATGGAATATAGAAAACTGGCTATTTAGGAAATTTCGTCGTTGTGAAAATGCTGTCGAAAGAAAGAGTTTATTTTTTTATCAATTTTGCAACCCATTTCTCCGAGGAAAAATAATTTCATTAAATTATGAATAATTTAACAACACGTTGGAGTAATTGCTCTTCGTTTTAAGGTGGACTATAAATTATGTATATTAATTTGTTCGTTTTAAGTTTGCTGTCTTGTGTGAATATTCACTTGCCAGGAAGCAACGCCATAACATTGTTCTGGAGATAAAAAAAAAAAAAACGACTTGAATAAAACAACTAACTAAATAGAATTACCGTATATACTCGCATATTATGACTTTCGAAGACCTAATTTTTAAGCTAATTTCATGGGGTTGGATCATACACAAGATAAAAAAATTAACGCCGTTGACCAAATTATATATCCATTTTTTGTTGTTAAAAAGTACAGCTACATTTAAAATAAACATGATTTTGATAAACTGATGCTTTACTTAACTGTATCTAATAATAATGCATGTAATATTCACATATTAGTGACGTATTATAAAATACAAACATAGCGATTAGGCATCTTTTCCATTATTTGTGTTTATAAGATAATTAACTGTTTCTCGTTGTTTATGGCTGTACACGTTTACGCAATGAGTATAGCGTTACTAGGAATGCTTTTATCATACTCTTGCTTTTTTTAACTAGAATATGGGATAAAGAGATAAAGGGGAAGAGGTTACTTAGTGTATTTTGGTCTCTCAAAAAAGGAACTCGCATGATACACGAGATACATGATATAATCATTTTTTATAAGTTAAAATTTGAGGGCCGCGTGACACTTGAGATCGAACATTACACGAATATATACGGTGTCTCAATTGACTAAAATAATAGCACAATCTTATGACAATATTTTCAAAAGTCCACCTCAGCCCTTATTGAACAATCGGATTATCATAATTGAACTCTAGTTACTATTTTATATACGGTTATGATTAATTGATTCCTTTATTTTCTACGGTTTATCAACCGTTTACAGGTTATTTAAAGCCATAATTTTTTTAGATTGTAAGATTTTTTTCACATAATAATGATTTAGTGATAGAAGTCCTACTATTTAACCCATTGCTGGGGGAGAAAAAGTGGATTCATGACTTTGCCAGGAGTATTTACGCGAAAGTGACTATGACGAACCCAAATGGAATTGGAACTTGAATCACTTTTGACTGTAGTGTTAACTAGACCTATGTCTACCTCTTTTAATTTGATGAAAACCATACCAATGTGTACATTTCAGAGACTACTGTAAACTTGTTATGGTGAAACACACCTATTCTATAGTTAATATTAATAGACTCTCCCACCTAATATAAGTAAGAGAAACGAGGGTCAGTCGATGTCGGACCACCGGCTGATCGGTTGAACTCTCTGCCTTCGGGAGGGGAGGAACCCGAACGAGGCTACGCCAAAGGGCGGAGTCTCGTTCGGGGAGGTAAACCGACCCTGAAACCGTTTATACGGGTTCAAAGGGTATATTTTTGGTCGAGCCCACGGGCTCGGAGATCCCACGTTAAACCGGCCTTGTGCCACATGATACCCTCGTTGTGGGGTGACTAAATACTAGTCGATGTCGGACGACAGTCGAACTCTCTGCCTTCGGGCAGAGACCCGGACGAGGCTATGCCGGAGGGCAGAGTTTCATCCGATTTGTGACGTGTAAAATTCTCTCTTTGTGTTATATAATAAAAAATGTATATATCCTCAAATTAATCACCTACAGTATCTATCTATGTGTGTGTGTGTGTGTGTGTGTGTGCGCGCGCGTGTGTGGCAGGTCACTAAGTAGGGTACTGCTGGTGCCACTATCTGCCACAAAGTCGATTTTTGGGAAACTATACTGGCTCCTCCAATATGCGTATTTGATGTGGATGGTTGCTCGACATCCAGAGGTATTAAAATTAAAAAAAAAAAAAGAAAAATATAAAAATGGAAACATATCTTGCTTGGGATCTGCTTAGCTAAGCTTTTAGGAGAAGGACACTCTCAAATAACACCAGACATTTCTCTCCGGATTGTCAAGCTGAGATGGAGAGGATCGATGTGGTTCTGTACAAGCCACATCGATCTTTAAACCACTGCACAAGTATCACACATCTGACATCATTCATGATTGCTAGTTCTGCTTTGCAAAGCCCATGAGCGGGCAACGGTAGTAAATGAGTAGTTAAAGAGCAGAGACCTATATACACATATTACGTACAACTGTATTCTTACTGTATATGAGGAAAAGTTCTCTAGATCTCAATCCATAAATAAAAAAAAAAAAAGGAAGTAAAATTGTTTATAGTAGTACATTTTATGAGAGGAGCA